TGCTGGACATCCTCCAGCCAGTAAATGAGGCGGAGCTCTGTCTGATTTGCTGCAGCTTCTAATGCACATTGTGAGAAGCTCCCAGTGTGCAGTGACATATTTGGAAGCCGTTTCAGTCCAGGGGAGGAGCCGCTACACCTGTGCAAGACTGAAGGGGAGGAGCCGGTACACCTGTGCAAGACTGAAGGGGAGGAGCCGGTACACCTGTACAAGACTGAAGGGGAGGAACCGGTACACCTGTGCAAGACTGAAGGGAGGAGCCGGTACACCTGTGCAAGACTGAAGGGGAGGAGCCGGTACACCTGTGCAAGACTGAAGGGAGGAGCCGGTACACCTGTGCAAGACTGAAGGGGAGGAGCCGGTACACCTGTGCAAGACTGAAAGGAGGAGCCGGTACACCTGTGCAAGACTGAAGGGAGGAGCCGGTACACCTGTACAAGACTGAAGGGAGGAGCCGGTACACCTGTACAAGACTGAAGGGAGGAGCCGGTACACCTGTACAAGACTGAAGGGAGGAGCCGGTACACCTGTACAAGACTGAAGGGGAGGAGCCGGTACACCTGTGCAAGACTGAAAGGAGGAGCCGGTACACCTGTGCAAGACTGAAGGGAGGAGTCGGTACACCTGTACAAGACTGAAGGGAGGAGCCAGTACACTTGTACAAGACTGAAGGGAGGAGCCAGTACACTTGTACAAGACTGAAGGGAGGAGCCGGTACACCTGTACAAGACTGAAGGGAGGAGCCGGTACACTTGTACAAGACTGAAGGGAGGAGCCGGTACACCTGTACAAGACTGAAGGGAGGAGCCGGTACACTTGTACAAGACTGAAGGGGAGGAGTCGGTACACCTGTGCAAGACTTAAGGGGAGGAGCCGGTACACCTGTGCAAGTCTGAAGGGGAGGAGCCGATACAGCTGTTCAAGACTGGAGGGGAGGAAACGGTACACTATGGAGGGGATGGAGGGGAGGAAACGGTATCCTAATATCAGTTTCTAGGTCAAATCATGGTGGGCTAAGAGGCTTTAGTCACCAATAAAAGTATGAATCTGATATTCACAATCTCTATTCTACAAGTCTCCTCTGGGGTCCATCATCAACCAAGCCCTATGAAGATGATTTACTCATCCATCGTGAGACTCTGTGTATTTGTTGGGTTTTCTCTGTGCTTACCAAATCGTGTGGGAGATGTCACCTTACAGATTAACTGAGACAATCTCCGATTCCCAGACGAGACGTTTCTCCATAAAGGTGAGTTCATGGTGAGCAGAACATGGACTCTAAACCCTCGCCGTTGGTCTTTGTTGGGTTGTCTCCATGTGGGTCTTGTTGTGGATGATTTTTGTAGATGTGTCACCTTATGAACTATTTGGGACAAGCATGAATGTCCAGATGAAAAATTCCTCCACACAGGTGAAGTCATGATGTGATGAACATGGACTACAAGCCTTTCTCCATGTGTCTTTGTTGGGTTGTCTCCAGGTGGGTCTTGTTGTGGATGATATTTGTAGATGTGTCACCTTATGAACTATTTGGGACGAGCATGGATGTCCAGATGAGAAGTTCCCCCACACAGGTGAGGTCATGATGAGCAAAACATGGACTCCAAACCCTTCTGCACTAACCTGAAGACTAAGGTGTTCAGCAAGCACAGGTAGTACAGAGTTAAGAGGAAAAAAATAACATACTAAGCAAGTCTCAACACTCCCAACGGATGCCTATTGCGACTGCCTAACCAGGACTAGGATCTTGATTGGTGGAGGAGGAATGAGGGGAGAGCTTACTTTGGGAATGTTATCACAGCCTGTAATATCACTGTCCACCACTAGAGGGACTCAAAATTTATGTGGCTAGACACACATGGGCAGATACAAATCTTGTACACAATCTGGTGCATTGGGGCTATGAAGCAGCTGGGTCTGACCAGGGCCGTGGATAAGGGGGACCACCAGTTCTCCTGCATGGTGCCCAGGCATCTGTGTGTTTCGAATGTGGGCAGGGAGATTAATCGGCATGGAAGGGGGGACAATTACTGGATTGCCCGTATGGCTCTCTCTGCAGCAGCTGAAAGCCGGCTTGTTCTCCCTCCCGCTGGCTTTAAGCTGCATATACACATATACAGTATAATATTACAGCAAAAAGTACACTACAAAGAAATATCATCATTAACCACCTTCCGCCCGCCCTATAGTAAAAATGATGGTCGCAAGGTGGTTCTCTCGTTCTGATATGACGTCCTACCAGACTCACTGCGCATGCGTGGCTCAGGGAGCACGCAGCGCGCCGATTGCTGGTGCGCTGTGTCGCTCGGACACAGCGGATCACGGAAAGAGCCGAAGATGTCGGCTCGGTCATGTGATCAGCTGTGTCCAATCACAGCTGATCACATGTAAACACGGAAATGCCGGTTATCGGCATTTCTCTCCTCTCGAGCTGTCACGCTGACAGCTCGAGAGGAGAGGAGAGCCGGTAATCGGCTTTCCGTGGAGGGGACATGTACACTGATCATCAGGGCACTGATCAGTGTGCCCTGATAATCAGTGTGGCCCCAGAAGTGCCACCTGTCAGTACCACGTGCCAGTGCCACATCAATGCCACATATCAGTGCATACCAGTGCACATATCAGTGCCCATCTGAGCTGCCTTTCAATGTCACCCGTCAGTGCCACCTATCAATGCCAACCAGTGCCGCCTAACAGTGCTAGTCAGTGCCGCCTATCAGTGCCAGTCAGTGCCGCCTAACAGTGCTACTCAGTGCCGCCTAACAGTGCCAGTCAGTGCTGCTAACAGTGCCAGTCAGTGCTACCTATCAGTGCCATATCAGTGTAATGTATCAGTGCTGCCTTTCAGTGCCCATCAGTGATGCCTGTCAATGCCCATCAGTGCAACCTACCAGTGCCTCCTCATCAGTGCCCATCAGTGCCACCTATCAGTGTCCATCAGTTCAACCTATCAGTGCCCATCACTGCAGCCTCATTAGCACACATCAGTGCAGGAGAAAAATCACTTATTTACAAAATTGTATAACAAAAACTAAGAAAAAATGTTTTTTTTTTTTTTCAAAATTTTCAGTGGTTTTTGGTTTGTTTAAGAAAAAATAAAAATCCCAGAGGTGATTAAATACCACCAAAAGAAAGCTCTATCTGTCTAAAAAAAATGATAAAAATTTCATATGGGTACAGTGTTGCATGACCGCGCAATTGTCATTCAAAGTGTGACAGCCTGGGCAGGAAGGGGATATAAGTGCCCGGGAGGAAGGGAGGGTTTAGAAGTGTCCGGTAGGCAGGAAGGGGGTAGAAGTGCCCTGTTGGCTAGTGGTTAAATACACGGAATCCAGCAATCTGCCGAGAATGGGAGATGTTGTCAATGGAGTTGGTGTTCCAGAAACATGGCTTGGCTCCTCCCAAGGCTGGGCTGTATTCATGCTGATCCTCTTGTTTAGAGGGACACAGGACATGGAGGGGGGTTTCTCTATGTTAGATGTGATGTGAAAGTGAGGAAGAAAGATGATCTTGTGGTTGGAGGTGGTGATGGTGCGGAGGAGGAATTACAGGAGGAATGATAGATAAGTCTATGGACTGATGGACTTATCATTGGAGTATACTACAGACGTCCTGAGGTCTATGAGAAGGGGGAGAGTCGGCTGTTCCAACAAGGTGATGGTGCGGAGGAGGAATTACGGGTGGAATGATAGATGGGTCTATGGACTGATGGACTTATCATTGGAGTATACTACAGACGTCCTGAGATCTATGAGAAGGGGGAGAGTCGGCTGTTCCAACAAGGACAAGCTGGGAACACCAAACTACTAAGACACAAGATGGAGACTAAAACCTACAGGATGGGCCGTACTTGTAGTGTTAGAGGAAGGAATAAAGGAGAAGAACATTTCATCATACAAATCTGAAGGAAGACTTTTATCAATCAACTTAGAAAGAATATCATGAGTTCAAGAACATAAATATTTAATCTTCAATTCAGATTAAACAAATGTGTTATTATATTTGTCCATTTACAAGGTAAATATGAAATCTTACATCTGAAAATGTCATGTTTTCCACATTCAGCCACCAGGCAGCACTCTCCAATCGCATCCAAGTTGCAGGCTGATAACTACTGACCCAAAATGACCAGTCCTGTCATTCTTAGTCTGATCTCTCCTTCTCTTCATCCACAAGCAATACCTAGCTCCTCTCTCACCACGATGTCCTCCATGAAAGCTTCTGCTGAAGGTCAGGGGAGATCAGACTACACTGCTAGAGTGACACTGCAGTAGAGGGGCCTGCTTAAGGGCAGGGGAGATCAGCACTGTGAGGGGCCCAACCAGCCCCCCCCCCTTCTCTCTCACCATGATGTCCTCCATGGAAGTTTCTGCTGAAGGTCAGGGAAGAACAGACTACACTGCTAGAGTGACCCAACCAGCAGTGACCCCCCCCCCCTTCTCTCTCACCATGATGTCCATGGAAGCTTCTGCTGAAGGTCAGGGGAGATCAGACTACACTGCTAGAGGGACCCAACTAGCAGTGACCCCCCCCCCCCCCTTCTCTCTCACCATGATTTCCTCCATGGAAGTTTCTGCTAAAGGTCAGGGGGGGAGATCAGACTACACTGCTAGAGGGACTCAACCAGCAGTGACCCTCCCCCCTTCTTCTTTCTCACCATGATGTCCTCCATGGAAGCTTCTGCTGAAGGTCAGGGGAGATCAGACTACACTGCTAGAGGGACCCAACCAGCAGTGACCCCCCCCCCCCCATCCTCTCTCCTAGCAGAGGAAGCCAGACACAACTTTGAAGTCTTTAGTGATCTCTGATCTCCTTATAAAAAGTGTTTCTTCCATGATAAAGATCAGAGGAGGGCTCAGCCACGTGTTAGCTGAGGTGTATATCAAGGTGTGCTTCTTCCCTGTGTGAGATCCCTGATGTACGGCAACATATCATCCATAGAGAAGACATTTCCTACACTCAGGACACTAATACACCTCGAGGGTGTTGTGGGTTCTCTGATGTTTGGTAAGACTAGACTTCCATGAAAAACATTTCCCACACTCAGGACAGGAATACGGCTTCTCACCCGTGTGAGATCTTTTATGTTTCATAACATCTGATTTCCGTGTATAGCATTTCCCGCACTTGGTGCAGGAATACGGCTTCTCCCCTGTGTGAGTTTTTTGATGTTTGACAAGTGCTGATTTCCGTGAAAAAAATTTTCCACACTCAGAACAGGAAAACTGCTTTTCCTGCGTGTGGCATATTTGATGTTCAGTAAGACTGGACTGCCAAGAAAAACATTTCCCGCACTCCGGACAGGAATACAGCTTCTCACCTGTGTGCAATCGCTGGTGTCTGGTAAGACTGTTCTTATCTGAAAAACATTTCCCACACTCAGGGCAGGAATATGGCTTCTCCCCTGTGTGAGATCTTTGATGTACAACAAGTTCTGATTTATGAAGAAAAACATTTCTCACACTCAGTACAGGCATATGGCTTATCTCCCGTGTGCAATTTCTGATGTCTGAAAAGACCAAACTTTTGTAAAAAAACATTTCCCGCACTCAGAGCAGGAATACTGCTTCTCTCCTGTGTGAGATCTTTGATGTGTAACAAGGTCTGATTTCTGTGTATAACATTTCCCGCACTCCAGGCAGGAATACGGCTTCTCACCTGTGTGACATATCTGATGCCTGGAGAGACTGGTCTTTTCTGTAAAACATTTTCCGCACTCAGGACAGAAATACAGCTTCTCCCCCGTGTGCAACCTCTGATGTCTTGAAAGACAGAACTTTTGAGAAAAACATTTCCCGCACTCAGAACAGGAATATGGCTTCTCCCCTATATGAGATCTATAATGCATATCCAGTTTTGATTTACAAATAAAACATTTCCAACACTTGAGGCAGTAATGAAGATTCTCTCCTGTGTGAGATCTCTGATGTACAGAAAGACTTAATTCAGAGTGAAAATTTCCCCCAGAATCTGGACAGGGAAATGTCTTCTCCTGAATCCCGGCCCCATCCCCCACAGTACGAGGGTGCTCAGAGTCAGAGGGATTCCATGGTTTCTCCACACTGTGAAGTCCTCCATCCATAGTGGAGCTCATTGTCTTTTCTCCGGCATAATCTCCTGGGATGTCCTCATCTTCCATTTTACAACCTGGAGATAAAGTGAGACGATCCTTTGAGGGTTTCTCCATGGCGGGTCCTGGAAAAATAGAAAAACATCATCAATAGACAGGAGAGGGTTAGTTCACTTCCATCAAGATTCCATCTGGATCAGGGAGATAGGAGGGAGCAGATGTTCTCTGTGGATGTCCCAACCAGCTGGAACTCTTCCCCTCTTCAGTCATAGGGCCTTTGGTCCTCCCAGATCACTTCTAAATTTACACCCGCCTTGTCAGAGGAGCAGGAACCAATGGGGGCTGGAGGGGGGCGGTAACAGAGCAGAGATAAGAGTAGAATATATTCTGGTCACCTGTGCTGATCTCTGTAGGAGTGTCCTGCTCTATGAATGTCCTCCTCATTCCAGCCTCCTCCGTATATTGCTGATCATCCCTCACATACGTCTCTTCTACTTCACCCTCAACTTTCATGTTCATCAGATCTTCACCCTAAACCAACAGAATGGCATAAAATAACACTGTAACATAGAAGGATTTATGATGTGAGATCACATAGAACATCTCATCTTGTAGAGTCCACACATCGTCTCCACATGTCAGAGTGTTCCATCACTTTATGTTCCCGACCCTCAACTCCACCTACCTGATGATGGTGAGGGATGGTGTGACCTTCCTGTGTGGAATCCCGGGAATACAGAGGACGGGGACATCTCTCTGGTGGGTTCCTGTATCTGGATGACTCCACCATGGTGTCCTGGTACAAATCTTTGTGTCCTTCTGGAATCTCTGACTCCTCCATCACCCCATCCTCATCCTCCTCTTTTATCTCTTCTTTCACCTCAACTGTAGAATCTCTCAGGTTTCCACTCTGAATATATAATAAAAATGACATCAATGGTAACAATGCAGATAATGTACAGATCCTAATGATACTATCAGTGATTGTTCCTCATCTACCTGATGATGGTAAGGGATAGTGTGACCTTCCTGTGTGGAATCCCGGGAATACAGAGGTCGGGGACATCTCTCTGGTGGGTTCCCATAACTGGATCTATCTGTAGGAAACACACACACTGACTGAATCCATTGTTTCTATGTGTTTATCAGATAATGGGGGATCTAGGTGGATCCTCCGTACTGCTCTCTCCAATAAAGTCTCCTCTTACCCGGTGATGTGAGGGGTGGCTGATTGTCCATCATGACGTCCTTGTAGAGGTCCTTGTGTCCTTCTAAATACTCCCACTCCTCCATGGAGAAATAGACAGTGACACCCTGACACCTTATAGGAACCTGACACACACAATGATACAGTCACCATCCAGACACATCCCTTGTCTGTTACTGGAGAATGTCCCAGAATTCCCAGCGCCGCTCACCTCTCCTGTCAGCAGCTCCATCATCTTCTTGGTGACTTCTAGAATCTTCTGCATGTTGTGTCTCTCAGGGTTTAGGGAGTCACATGGAGGCACTGTGATGGTCATATGATCACCTGACTTCAGAAGAGGAAATCTCTGTATTGGGGAACCAATAGGAACATCATGTTAGACTCCCAGAATCTTCCTCACCTCTCCGGTCAGGTCTGTGTTTTATTAATAGAGATGAGAGTGATGTCATGTGACTTCCCAGAATCCTCCTCACCTCTCTGGTCAGGTCTGTGTTTTATTAATAGAGATGAGAGTGATGTCATGTGACCTCCCAGAATCCTCCTCACCTCTCCGGTCAGGTCTGTGTTTTATCAATAGAGATGAGAGTGATGTCATGTGACCTCCCAAAATCCTCCTCACCTCTCCGGTCAGCAGGTAGATGATCTCCAGGGTGAGGTTTAGTATCCTCTCAGTCGTGTGACTCTGGTCCTCCTCCATCCTCATAGATGTGGTCATGTGATCTAGGTGGGTTTCTCTGTAGATGGATAGCGGAGAATTATCTGGACTACATTGGCTGTAGAACATTAGGATGGGGATATAAGGGATTAATCATCAGGGTTCTCCTCAATAGGAATTTGCACATATTGAGTTCTATACATCAGAGCAAAAAGAGGGACAATTGAGGAGTAGGGATGAGCTCAGTGTTTGGTCTGAACATAAGTCTACTCATTTAATTAGCATGGGTGTGGCTATCTGGGGGGCCCTTTATTTATTAAAGGGGGCTTTCACTTTCTGATAAACCCCCTTCGACCAGACTAGGGTTGCAGGGAAGAGGTCCATCAACATGGAGAAAAGGTGCTTTGCTAAGGGGGTCCCTCTTGGACAGACCATCCCCTCTTGTTGAAGGCATGAGGCCCGGTATGGTTCAGGTATGGTAGTCCCCAACACTTTCCTGGACAGCCAGGTTGCATGCTCAGGATCAGGGCCTGGTATGGATTTTTTAGGTGGACCTCATGGTTTTTTTTGTTGTTTTGACCTAATGGTTCTGGTGTGGATTTCCTGGTGGGACTGAACACATTTTTTGTTTGTTTGAATGCATTACCCCCTAAAATCACTTCCAGATTCAAAGGGTCTGGTATACATTTTGGAACGGCTCTACACATTTTTTTCGGGTTCCTCAAGAAGACTAAAGCCAACATTGGAGCTCCATTCAGAGAGGGAAGAATTGACCTTTACAGGAAAAACTTTTATTTGGGTTTGACGTTTGGCGACGATGTGATCTAGTGACACCCACTTCTGTTTTCTGTCCGCATTACTTTTCTTTTATACCAGTGTTTTCACTTCAATATGTTACATCATCTGAAATGCTGAGAGCGATAGAAACACTTTGAGCAGATAAATCGGATATTGATTGGTCTGGGTGTACATCAGACTGAAACGAGGGACATTTAAAGGGCAAAGTGGGATGGAGAAATTTGGGTTCCCAATAATGGACGGTGATGGGAGTCATGATAACTTAAAATCTAATTACCTCCTCTGTGGCCAGTTCCAGCAATGTCTTCCCTTTAAATCTTCGAACATGGAACTTCCTGTCTTTATGCACATCACTTCCTGTCTGTACCTGACAACTTCCCATCTTTCATAGAGACTTCCTGTCTGGGTAGGAGTGAGACCACCACCTTGTGGAGTTCAGAGGATTGGCAACTATGTTTCATGGTAGTTGTGATCAGGGTGTTGGCGACATGAGAACCAGTTCTGTCTTGAGATATATACAGTGAAGGAAATGTGTATTTGCTCCCCTGCTGATGTTGAATGTTTTTGCCCACTCACAAAGAAATGATCGGTCTAAAAATCGAAAAAACGTCTGACCTCTGCGATTGCCAACAAGGGATTTGCCACCAAGTACGAAGTCATGTTTTGTGCAGGGGATCAAATCCTTATTTCCCTCATGAACATGCAGATCAGTCATCATTTGTTAGGCATGTACTTCTGCTGAATTTGTTGTTGCTATTCTGTCTCTCAGTGTTACAATACACCGAACATTCGATTTTTAGACCGATCATTTCTTTGTGAGTGGGCGAACATTCAACATCAGCAGGGCAGCAAATACGCATTTCCTTCACTGTGGCAGTTCTGGGCACTCTCACAGTGTGAATCATGGTTATAGCCCAGGATTCTCAACTAAACAGGTTGAGGGGTTCCAGGGGGTTTGCTTAATGCAGAAGAAACTGGTTTTTCAGTTTCCTCATTTGTTTGTAGGTCAGTTCGGGGCCTGGAGATTTGGAAGTGATTTGGGAGGGATTAATCTCCAATTCTGGGTCCATGTTTTCTGAACCCCCAGCACAGTGCTTAAGTAATAACCTGGCTAGGGTTCTGGGCTCCACCCCAGCAGATAGAGGAGGTCTCCACCTAGGAGCACAGATTGGAGCCGGAGCAGTGGCTGCCAAGGCTGTGGACCAAGCTGCTGAGAGAGGTCCTGAATGGTATGCGGTCACGGTCTGTAGGAGGCAGACCATGGCTTGAAGAGTAAAGCCTGAGCTATGGTGATGTATGTGTAAGCCAGGAGACTGCACATGTAGGTTCTCTGAAGGACCATTTGTTTGAATGGAAGACAAATGCTGAAAACCCTTGTGAGGGAAACCTTGTTTTTTTTTTTTTCTCTTGAACTTCCTTTTTAATAAAATTGGTCCAGAAAAGTCCTTGAAAAGAAGACAGCGAGTGGAGGTGTCCTTTTAAAGCTATACTATCTGATGCTAGATGTCACAATATATAAAACACCAGATCTCCTAGTTTTGGGTGTTGAGCGGGAAGAGGGTGGGCTTCAACCAGCCAATTCCACATCCAGAGGCTGAGTGGGCACATGGCATAACTGAACCTTGCAAAGAACTAGAAAACCTTAGCGCTCCCGTGCTTGGAGAGTAGACCAAA